TCACAGGTGCAGGGTGTTGTCTCACAGTTGTAGGAGGTTGTCTCACAGGTGCAGGGTGTTGTCTCACAGGTGCAGGGGGTTGTCTCACAGGTGCAGGGGGTTGTCTCACAGGTGCAGGGGGTTGTCTCACAGTCTGTGATTAAGTCTTATTTGGATTTCATAGGTTGTAGGTAACACAGTGAGGTTGTCATCCCGTGTGTGAGTGAGAACACTCAGGAGCTCAGCCCAGTGCATCATGGATGTCACTCAGCAGCCTGTAGAGTTTGAATTAAACAGATTAGTAGTTGAGTTTTTTTTTTCCGCCCACAGCTGAAAGGTAACGGTGGACTTCGTTTTAGATTGTATCTGTGTGTCTGTTAGCAAAATATGTTGTGAACTACTGAACAAATTAAATGAAAATCTCCAATAATGATCATTAAATGTGTTTTAATTCTACAGAAGGTTAATGTTTGGAGTCAGACTGGTTCAGTAAGGCTGCCTCAGACAACTAAAGGTAAAAACACAGAAGAGGTTAAAGTCAGTCAGATTTACAGAAACTGAGCTAAACTCTCATGTGATAAAAGCTGAGATTCATTCACAACACTTACCTGAAGGAATGCATGTTGCACACTAATGCTCCTGCAGAGTCTACAGACTGAGGCTGTGCCCAAATTCAGGGGCTTCGTCCTCCAAAGGCTGAATTCATCGGCCGCTTACGTCACTGCGCCACGCTGGAGGCTGTCCAAATTTGAAGACTCCTCCGATGTGTCCCACAAAAGTGTCCTCCTTGAGGGTTATGAGGGTTTGGCAGATCCTTCTCCCAGCCGATCCCATAATGCATTACAGGCCAACTGGAGAGGGTTTTTTTTTTTTTTTTTTTTTTTTTGCTTATGGAGGACGAAGCAAGAGACAGGATTAGTTTTAAATAAAAATCTGTTGGTATAAAAACTGAAAGTTTAAAGCGATTGTGTTTCTAATGCTTTTACCTTTTGCATAAACATTTGTTTTAATATTATTCTTGTCAGAAATCAAACGAGCTGGTATAGAGAAATAAACGTGCATGTATGGTGAGTCCGTTAGTTTTTCAAATATTGCCTTAAGCTGATTTTATTATTTTGTAATAATACTAAAATGCAGGTATTTTGCTACTTTCAGTCTATTTTTGCTTCTGTTTAGTGTTGTCACTATTCAGAGCCACTTTTTCTGGTCTTCACGGTCAACCAAGGAACCAGCCCCTGAATTTGGACACAGCCTAAGATCCTCTGGTGATGAGAAATAATGAAGTTGTTGCCTTCTGGGTCAAAACTTGTAAATAAGTTTAAGAACTCTGATATCTTGTATAATCTTCTTACACCCTCAGCTGGCGACACACCACACTTGACCTCAGTATTGGTAAAACTGACGGAGTTATAGTCTCTGAGGTTTTGGGTTTGGTCAGCTCTGTGGCGGCCACCTTGTATCGGTCTGACTCCCACAGAGAGTCAGTTGTAGATGGACATGTGCCTGGATTTAATTTATGTCTAGGTTACAGATAGTTCTTAGCTCTAAAAATACAGCAGCGCTGGCTTTAACCAGCCATGTGACCACGTTGGAACTGTGGTGTCAGCAGGAGGGAAGCTGCTTAGACCGCCTGATTGACAGGTCTGCTCCTGACCAATCACAGGGCTACTTCCTGTTGGCAGCAACGGCCAAGAGCTGATTAGAGCAGAAGTAATACCTGTCCACTTGGAAAATGTGATGCATCAGAAGGACACACACACACACACACACACACACACACACACACACACACACACACACAC